AATTAGATTGATGGTACTATTCCTATTTGTCAATAATAGGAAGAGGCTCACATGCCTTTTTAGTGCAAGCGTGTGAGAATGACATGCCAGAAAAAAGTGGTGCATGTGGCGGCCAGCATCAGGCCAGGTGGTGTGGTGGTCGCTGGAGGAAGGCGGTCCTGATCATGTGGTTGTGCCAGAGAAATGGTGGCTCGACAGAGGTCAAAGGAGGTCTACAGTGCAGTGGGTACTGTTCCCCATGAGAAAATGCATGCACTGAGGCAGGAAAAAAGAAAAAGAGAATCCTAAAACATCAATTCCATATAAGATTACAAGAATTGTGTGTACTGATCCACACACGTTCATCTTTATTAATAATCAAGTAATGAATTACAATTAACCAAATAAGGAAAGAAAATAAAGAACATCCCTAATTTCTAGCTTTACATAATTCTTTATTTACATAGATGCAACCCATATGTTTAACAATGTTGATAATGATTTACAATTTTTTTTTTTAGTAATGATCAAGAATTATGTTCTTAATTTGGATTTGCAGAATTGCAATTATATATTTGTTATATTTATGTTTTATGAATCTTATGCATACATAGATATGTAATTTTACACGTATTGTATTTTATATAATTTTAGAATAATTGTATCATTGTAATATATGTATCATTGTAATATATGTATCGTATATGTGCATCATAGTTGTTTACCAGATACACTTAGTATTTGAAATATGTTCTCCTTGGTTTGGAAGTATTATTGCTTGATATATTGGTGTGTGGAGCCCACAACCATCAGGGACAAACTGAGTATCAAGATAAACATGATTCATAGGAAAAAAAAATTGACAATGACAATGCTGATATAGAATGATATAAAAACTGAATATTTTACTGAACTGAAACTGATGCTAATTGTGTAAATCTCGCTTCCTCAATGGCTTTATGTTGGTTCCTAGTAAACTTGATAGTTTGTGATTGAAACTTAAGCATTCTCTGGAATAAGTTCTCTTTAACTTTTGCATCTATACCCATTACTGGCTTTATGTTGGACCAGCTGACTGTGTAATTTATTGATGCAGCTTATGCAAGATATTCATTCTGGGGTGCATGAAAATGACTTCACTGGCACACCTTATGTTCCTGTTTATGCAAAGCTTCCGGTATGTGTCCTCTATTTGCTGCTTGCTAAATAACTAGCATTAAACCTGGGTGATTTGTCGGTTATAGACAACAAATTACACATTTACAGCTTTCACTTTCGTGTGTCCTTTCTAGTAATGTGTTTGCCTAGTATTTGATTATAGGGTTTCAAAACTTGGTCTTTTATTGCAGGCTGGTATTATTAACAAATTTTGCCAGTTGATTGATCCTGAAGGCATTAAGCAGGAGCTAATCCATATCAAGACTTTAAATATAGATGGTGTTGTTGTGGATTGTTGGTGGGGCATTGTTGAAGCCTGGAGCTCACAGAAATATGTGTGGTCTGGTTATAGGGAGCTTTTTAACATGATTAGAGAATTCAAACTGAAGTTACAGGTATAATTTTAATTGCTCATATAATCTTATACCTGCATTGATGTCCTTTAAAAAGAAATTATATCAAACACAAGTTAGTTTTTGCTATCTGTAATATGTGGCGTGTGTCTGGGGTTTCAGTAATAGTCCCAGTCATTTATTTTCTATTATGGACGTGCTTTTTCTGATTTGGACTTTTGGATAGAAGTGCTGCCTACCTATTAAATGCTTGCAACTAGTAATAAACATGAAGGACATAATATGGAACAGAGCGTTTCAGAATGAGCTGATGTTGTCAACTCTGTATGGCGTATCTGTTTTTGATATGGAAACTTAGACATAATAACTAGCAGATGATTTTCAGTTGTATTATTTGTCAAAAATATGTTTCTTCACTGTATTACATAAAATCATTTCCCTAGCTTGCATAATATTTGAAAAATCATATTATTTTAAAATGTCAGTGGTTTCTCTAATTGGATGTGTATTTTTGTGTTGGAAATTGGGAAGCATCTTTGACATTGGAGAACCTTTCTTGATTCTTATTTCAAATTCTGAAGGTTGTTATGGCATTTCATGAATGTGGAGGGAATGATTCTAGTGATGCATTGATCTCCCTCCCACAATGGGTTTTGGATATTGGAAAAGACAATCAGGATATATTCTTCACAGATCGTGAAGGACGGAGGAATACTGAATGCCTTTCGTGGGGGATTGACAAAGAGAGAGTTCTCAAGGGAAGAACTGGAATTGAGGTATGGAAATGTTTAACATATCACTCCTAGATTCAAAGATTTTATATCCACTTTATTGTCAAATGTCTGTTAGTTATATTTACATACTAATTTCCAGTGTACTTCTGCATTTTATCTTTAAGAAAAACATTTCTGTTTTATGTGTGCAGTTCTACGTGGTTATATGTTCTATTCTTTGAATCATTCCTCCGTTGAAATTTACATGCGTTTTCATTTGTTGAGTGTTTGTTACTGATTTGCCTTCTCTAAACATTTACAGGTCTATTTTGATATGATGAGAAGCTTTCGGACAGAGTTTGATGACCTGTTCGCAGAAGGTCTGATTTCTGCTGTAGAAATTGGTCTTGGAGCATCTGGGGAGCTGAAATATCCTTCTTTCTCAGAAAGAATGGGATGGAGGTATCCTGGTATCGGTGAGTTTCAGGTACCTGATATTGTGGCCCCATTGCAAAATTGTTTGCATTATTCTGTAACGTAAATAGTATGTATGCCATCATATATTATTTGTTAATAAATAAGTCTTGTTTTCTTTCTCATCTTCTATGGGCAGTGCTATGACAAATATCTACAACATAGTCTGCGCAGAGCAGCCAAATTACGGGGTCACTCTTTCTGGGCTAGAGGACCTGATAATGCTGGACATTACAATTCTATGCCACATGAAACTGGATTCTTTTGTGAGCGAGGTGATTATGACAACTATTATGGACGCTTCTTCTTACATTGGTACTCCAAGACATTAATAGACCATGCAGATAATGTTTTGTCTCTTGCAACCCTTGCTTTTGAGGAAACAAAAATAATTGTCAAGGTAGTGTTCCTGGCAAATCAGCTTTTACTATAGTAGTTTCATCTCACAGTTGTATGAGTAAATTTGGATGATATTAGTTATTGCCAGCATTGAGTGTATTCATGGTTGATATTATTTGAAGTCAGTTTGGTATCCCCTTAATCTGAGGTTGCTTTTAATACACATTTTAAATTTAAGAGAGAAACTTTTCTTGCAATAACTGTTAATGCTGTATAATTCTTTACCCATAAAATTATAAAGTGGTACATAAAATAGCAAGCATGGTCATTATATCTCCTGAAAAATCATATCCTGCAGTCAAAAGTATAAGTAGACGGACTGAAATCATGTCATTTTCTATAAATTAATTAATAAATGTCTTAGACAATGATATCTTGTAGGTTCCTGCTGTATACTGGTGGTATAAAACTCCTAGTCATGCAGCAGAGTTGACAGCAGGATATCACAATCCAACAAATCAGGATGGATACTCTCCCTTGTTTGAGGTTCTGAGAAAGCATGCGGTCACCATGAAATTTGTCTGCTTAGGATTTCATCTTTCCAGCCAGGAAGCTAATGAATCATTAATTGACCCAGAGGGTTTGAGTTGGCAGGTAATTTGATTTTCCTACATTATTAACCTTCACGAGAATATTTCTTCTGATAAGTTTTGCCGCCTTAAATCCAGTTTTGATGTTTCTTGCATGAAGGCGGGAGTTATGCTTGTTTAGATAGTTTCCATAACTTGTTTCGGTCAACTTGGACCCATGGATGTTTTATGTTAAAACAGGTGCTAAACTCAGCTTGGGATCGTGGATTGATGGCTGTTGGAGAGAATGCACTCCTTTGCTATGATAGAGAAGGGTACAAGAGATTAGTTGAGATGGCAAAGCCCAGAAATGATCCCGATCGACGACACTTCTCATTCTTTGTTTATCAGCAACCATCTTTGCTGCAGGCAAATGTTTGCTTGTCCGAATTGGACTTCTTCATCAAATGCATGCATGGTAAGAATCCTAGGAATTTACTCTGATCTATGTGAAAAGTATTCTTTTTTTCGTGGTTTTTTGCACAAAACGTGGTGTTCTACAAGATCATTGCACTAATTATTTTTTTCCTCTTGTTTGCACGGCAATGCCTAACTTTCGCTCAGGTTATCGTGTATAGTCTGATAGAATTTCTATGTTCGATACAGATTATGCTTGAAGCATTGGTTTTCTTTAACTATATTATTGAAACTGGTTTGTTTTCAAGCGGGCTTCATAATTTCAAAACATTGTTACCAAGTTTATTATTTATTTTTTCAGAAAATATTTTCCATCTAATGTTAATTATAGTTAAATATTCTTGCAGGTGAGATGACAGATCTGTAATAGCTGCAAATTATACGTTTAAATTGTAGGCCATTTTCATGGGGCGTAATGACCTTAGGGCAGTGCAACGCCATTTTTAACAATGTCATCTATATATAACATATGTAGCCTTCAAGAGGTGGCCTAGTCCCCAAGCAGCGCCATACCATAGTAGATCAGTGCCTTTTGCAAGCTTGGTAATGTTGGGGGTTAAGTTCTACGGGATTCCAACTTCTAATCTAACCGATAAAACTTGCAATTATGAAATGTGATTATGATGGCGATATTTTGTGAAAAAATTGTTAGAGAAAATAAAAAGGCATATAAGGCCATTTGTAATTTGCTAGACTGTTATTCAAAATGTATTCGGTTGGTTCAGTATCTAATCAGCCACTGAACTGAATCTCTAAAGCGATGGAGTACACGTCTAGACCTCCAAACATGGGGTGAGTGTAACCAGAGATTCCTCTCTCTCTACATTTTTAACGCGTTGGAGCTTGAATTATAACCATTTAAGTTCTCTGCACCAAAGGTTAAGATTCAGTATAAAACTACTACCACGTTTATTCTAATCATAGATGAACCTTGCATGGGAAAGGCAACGATAAGATGCTTTCAATTATCTGAAAGTTAAATATTGCAAGCAAATTCACAAAATTGATCTAAAATAGAATATGAAATCTTAGCAAATAAGCTATAAATTTGATCCTTTGAAGCCACCTGGGCTACAACTGAAAAAAGATAGGACCACTAGGATGCGACACCTTCAACCAAAAAAATAACGAAATAAGAAACGGCAGTTAGCTTAAGTATCTGTCTTCCCACTATAACTGCCCGTCTCGTTATTTATCACCTTCATTGTCATCTTGCATGTTCACCTGCATAATGACTACAAAAGAAAACTTATGTAAACAATTGGGTGTACTGGTACAACATGAAACAATGGCCATCAGACACCATATCCTATGTGTGTCTACTATAATATCATGAAACAAACAAATGCAGAACAAACCTCAAGTTTTACTCGGTGCAATTCTCAATGAAAGATATTTGATGCATTACAATATAAACCTTCTCCTTATCTTTGAGAATCACAATACTGAGGAAATTCACATTTGCACAAACCTGCTCTAGCCTGGTACACACAAAAAAGTTATTTTTAACACGAGAATATTCAGACACTAAAGGAAATTTTGGAACAAACAATTAGTTAGCAGTGCGTAAAAGTCTACATTTATTGCATCATGTAAACATAGTAACTAGGAAAATGCATCCTTGTATTTGATTACATTCTTTATAAAATATCAAACCTGTGGTGCAGTTGACACTTGAAACACAAGTAGTATCACAATTATAATTAAGTGGTTAAGGTTTTTTATTGTTATCAATCCAGAGGGAATGTTAGACTTACAAAATCATTCACGTGATTTCATCTTAAAACTAAAGCTTTTATTTTAGGATAGTTGGTTCGAGACAAACACTAAACCAAGGACATACAAATCGTAAAGTGTTTTTAAAGCATTTTCATAATTCAAACCAGCTAATTATTGGATTTAAAGGAATATTGAACAGGAAAATTACAGTCTATATCAACCAATCATATCAACCAAAATAGAAAAGAACGAAAAAAATACTGAAAAGTATATATGAAAAGCCTTAATATCAAAAGGATTTCCTGAGAGCAGGTGTGGCAACTGATGAAATAATTGCATAACCAATAACATTTTTTTCCTCTTGTGCTGAACAACTAGATACTGAACCACTAACAATAAAATGTACTAAGGGGTTTAATGTTGTGTTTATAGAAATAACAAGAAAAAAAAAACAAAAGAAAAAAAAGACCATGACATCCACACACCTTACGTAATGTAAAAGATACCCTTCTTGAAGCCCTTCTGATGACTCTGCCATTCACTTTGTCTATCTGTGGGCAAAGAAAATATATTTAGTAGCAAAAATATATTATCGCGACACACCTAAATGCACTTAAGCCAAGGATCATACCTTGTGGTGTGGAATGTAATGATGCCATGCATAACGTGCTTCTCCAGACAAGAGTAGCAAAGATCGAGGGGGAAGATAGATAGCCCTCCTTATAAAATTTGAATGATCTTCTGGATTTTCTATTTTTGCATCAGCACTTGAGGCAACTCTGGGAAGCCAGTCACCATTTTCATATTGTCTGAACTCCATAATACAAGGCCCTGATAATGAAAGGCTGAAAATTAAATCTTCAAATGCAGAGTGAGTGTCTATATGGGGGGACAGGCCCACGCCAGGTGGGTACTCATTTACCTGTAACATAGCAATATTTAAACTCGGAACATCATAAACAATGCTTACATCTAAAAGTATCAAACAATGTTCAAAATAACTCATTTTTTCCCTCATGAATGTGCTAACAAAAACAATAATAACATTTTATAATTGGATTAAAAGTTCATGGAGTACAGCAGTAAGTTTGCATACCGTAAGTTGGTCCAAAACTATATTTTGAACATTCCCAAAAGTTGGACATGAAGAGATTCTTTCAAGTATTGGAGAAACAAATGGAGGAAGTTCACCTAAGCAATGTCTTGTATTAACGTTTCTAATCTGCAAAGCCAAATAAAGCAGAAAGAAGAATCTAGATTAATCAATCTTCTCACAATACTTAGCATCCTGTTTGTTATATAACACATTTTGGACTAGTTTCGAATAAGATCGTTAATTTCAAAAAAAATAACTATTTAGTTGGCTGGGAAAAGGTTGGATTCCCACTAATTTTGGGCATAACAGGAAGGAACAAAAGATAGCTAGAAAAACCCAAATAATCCTTGAAAGTTGAAACTCACATCATAACGAAATTCATAACCATAGTGTTGAACCCTTCTTTTTGAAAGACTGTTCCAAGGCCGACAGTCTACAGCTTGAAGCAACTCCTGAGAAGAGAAGACAGAAAAGGCCAAAATTTGCACAAGAAGCACCAAAATAAGTAAAAAATGTTTTGAAACACAAAAATGCAAAAATGGTAGGCTAAGCAATGTAGCATTGATACAGAAAGAAAACTCATAACCTCTTCTTCTTTTGCACTAATGAAGTCATGCACTAGATAAAGGCCTGGAATGCTCACATCTGATGCTGTGATAGATACAGGAACAAAGTCACTAGCTTGATCCTAAACAGACATGTAAACTCGTAAGTACTAACACTAACATATGGGATAATTCAATCGACCACCATAGCTTGTTTAGACAATTACACCAGCTTCCTCACTTTGTCATTTTGAACTAATTTTAAGAAACTTATGGGTCCGTACATGGAAGTAGGGAAGTATAATTTTCTAAATACTCAACTAAGGTGTCAACATATGTTACAAGAATAAAAATTGAATTGAAATACACGAACAGTGTATAGAATTTTTTACATTATTATGTAATCATGAATTCTCATATATTTTAAAAAGAAAAAAAGATTGAAAGTGTATTAAAACTAAACTCTCTTAGATTAACACACAAAATAAGTAAAGTAGACATAGTCTTCAACTAAAGATTCAATTAAAATACAGAGATAGCGTAAAGGTTTTACATTATCATCCAATAACAAATTGTCAAGTATGATAAGATTGTTCATTTATGTATTTTGAATCAATTTTTGACTGATTCTAGACATGAAACTTATAATATTAGATTCATTTATATTAAAACTATGAAATGTAATTACCATTTAAATTCAAAAGAACTATAAATATATTGAAAATCATGTGAAAAATATATCACATGAACAAAAAAAATAATATGAAATTAAAATTTTTTGGAAATTTTCAACTTTCACCATGTTTTTAACACATTTGGTCTGAAATTCAATTCCATTCAATAGTTTTCATATAAGTAAATTTTATGAGACAAATTCCAAGTCTTGAATAAGTCAAAAAAATTTCAAAGAACTAAATTAACCTGAATTTAGGAGATAAAGGAAAATGAACATTTTAAAAGATAAGGGATAAATTGAATCTAAAAAATAAGATGAAGGACCAAAAGTATAATTTAGTCATTTAACTACTTACCGCCAATTTAGTCTATGAATATATATCAATATTATTTCTTTAGTCATGCATTTTTTTGAATTTTGGACAAATGATTGTCAATTTGTATTTTTAGATACTTATTTTAAAATTTCTTAGCTTCTAGGACTAATAAATTCAGGAACTAAAGTAGATGTTTACTCATAAAAGTTCAACTCCATATTCTTATCAAATTGGATGTAAATGTAATGTAACTAGAGCTATGTACATATAACAGTCCTGATCCTAAAAATAAAAATGAACCATTTTAGTGAAATGAGTGGTAGTAGAATACCTGTGGAGTTGGCTGAAGCACAGAATAACGGATATGCAAGGATCGACCTCCAAGTTGAGGACACGGGCGTCCATGTAAAGCCTTTAAAGCAGCTTGTGCAGAACTCTCTTCAACGTAAGCCACAATGACACGTGTCCCACTCTCATCTGCTGCATAAACTCCCTTCAACTCTCCGAATTTGCAGAACACAGATGCAATGTCATCATCAGAAAGCCCCACTGCGGGCCCACAATTGGCCACGAAAAGGTTCGAACTGGATTCACCATCATTCTTGGGACGCCCAAACCTTGGCAAACCCATCGCAATGCCCCAAACGATGCTGCATAATCAAATAAGACGAAGTTTATTAGAGTCGTCGAAGTTTATGGTTTTGGTTCGACCCAGTTGAGGATCAGTGAAAAGTGAAAACTATTATGGAATAACACGAAAACGCACTTCCACTGTTGAGGGTAGGAATCAAGTTTCAATTTTACCCATCTACAAGCGTTGTTGTTGATGTTTGTGCTGTACAATTAAACTCACATCACAACATTGAAGGATTTTGATCCTCTACAGTAATCACGGCCCACTCCAAAACCAAATCAAAGTATATGTGTTGGGTTGGGTCAATAGGAATTGTGTGTTTTGGACCCAAAGAAGAAGACCAACTTTGTTGGGTCTCACACGAACCCAAAGAAGAAAATAAATCACTATGTTTTTCAAATTGTATTTTTTTATTTGCCAAAAAATATTTCTTTTTTAAATTCAATTCTTATGTACCAAAGTTGTTAGTTTAATTAATTTGGCATTTGTGAATTATTAGGATTGACTTAATAGTAAAGGAGGAGGGTTGAAGAAAAATTTACATGATCTTAAATTCATTCTAACCATAGTACTATCATTATAATTTTAAACTATTAAAAATAATAATAATAATTTGTATCTCTCTTAACCATAGATTAAGGTTGGATCTTTGCGGTATATTCACAGCGTGATATTTGTTAAATTTTGATCACAATTAATACCATCAATTTTATATTTTTAGTTTCTCACAAGTACCGTAATGGTTTGAGTTCCATTACCAGTTACTAGGGACATCTTTATTAAATATTAATTTGATGGGATGTTTATTTTGATACATATTTAGTAGGATATTTAGGAGTACATTATGATAAATTAAAATATAATAAATATTTTTAATTGATTCATTAAAAAAATAACATCGTCACCCTTGTAATTTTTTTAGGTATAAAGATGGAAAGATAATCTTTTTCAAAATAATAACAATGTGATTTAAATATTTTGTAATCTCTATAAAATTCTTGGATTCTTGTTTTAGTTACTATAAAATATTTCAAAATTTTATAATTTTTTTAATAAGGATATATATTTTTTTTCTTCTATCAAATTGATTTTTATAAAAGTAAAGTGGCATTTTTAATCTTGACTTTATACCTAAGTCAAAAATTAAAAATTCTATAATTTCCATTCGTACAAATTGTTTGGAAGAGTTGTCACACCCTAAGAAGCAATTTTTTTAAACTATAAATTTTTTATATTAGAGAGGGGGTAATATATATATATAATTATTTAAGAATTTAATTAATAAAGTCATGCATCGATCTTATGTAATATTATCATACACATGTTATGAAGGTGATTTTCATAAGGAATCTTATACAAAAGTGTAATCGAATACATAAATCATTTTCAAAAACTAGCCGATGCAGAAATAAGTATATAGAACATAAATATCTTTTAGGTAGTATTTAAGACTTAGATCAATAATCAACTTAGTCAAAATAATGAATCAATGGTTGAACTGTATCAATTGATAAATAATTAAATATATAATTTTAAATTAAACATATACAATAAAAAATAAATAAATAAACTCGGGTTCAAGACTTCAAGTCCCATATAACGCAATGCACATTTCCACATTAGGCAGCATGGTGATGGGAGGTATATCTATGAGTGTTAGTACATGTCTATGCATATGATATGGCCTTCTACTTATATATTCATTTTTGTATATAAAAATGATATTATGTAAGTTGTTGTATAATTTTTGTTGTATGTATAGGATTACATTTTTCTTTAGAATAATGTTACATGTATAATAAAAATACAATTTGTAAAATGCTAGAAAGGACATGATATTCCAAGGTTCTCGAGCCTAGTGTAGACATGGTCGTGCTTAGAAGGCTAAACCATAGTACTTCGTGCATAAGTAATGAAGTTAAACGCCGTCGTATAGAGATTCCAAACATAATATTAGAAAGTCTCATATTGAGTGCAACAAGGGTCACTCTTAGTGAGATTTAGGGTGCGGGAAAACAAATATTTTCTCTAACATTTTTTATAATTTACTTTTATGTTCTCACATGTTACATTGCATGCCACTCATGTTTGTTTGGAAGGCCTTATTTAGGCTTATTTAATGCACGCCTGTAGCATTGGCGTGAAGAACTTCAATGACCCAATACTTTAATTTAATAAAATAGAACTCAATCTCTAATTCCACTTTTATAATTATGTATTGTTAAAATAAATTATCTATTAATTTAATTATTGCAACTGGAAATTTTTTAATAGGTGCTTATTTACAACTCTTGGAGAAGTTGATTTGGCACAATCCAACTTCTCAATGTCACTATTAATTTTGTATTAGACAAAATTATCACGTCAACGAGTGATAATGATAATGGTGCTAATTGGTTCCAATTAAGTGTTTATTGCCACGATTTTTGGGTAAGTGATCTTAACATTGGAAGTCACTATGATTGTTCTTGTGTTTTCTTCCAAAGAATTGAATATTTTTGGTTGTTAAGAGTTGTATTATTATTTATACAATAAACTTTTTATAATATTACTAATATTTCCAATGGAGTTGTTCGGTCGGATGAAATAATGAGAAGAGAAATAAAATATTGATGAATTCCACTTCAGAATATTTCCATGTTTCCACCTCTGAATTCTAAGGTTCACACTGAAAATCATTTCCTATCTAGGAGACAAGAATTCAAAAAAATTGAAAAGAATGTTACTTGAGAAGTCCGTTTAAAATAATGACTTGTTACTTGATATAATCACATTATGAATATCTTAAGTTGAGTAATTTAATGATAAAGAAGAAAAAATATCCTTAAACAAATGTAGTCGAACGTGTGTGTAAAGGACGTTTAAAATGAGGAAATGTAACTTATTTGGATATTAATTAATTAAAAATTGGTGGTTAAAATTAAAATTTAATTATAAATATTTTTTTAAATTATATTGTTATTTTTATTATCATTATTATTGTTATCATTAATGTTATTTACACCATGTAACAACAATAATAAAGGTGATGTTGACAAATATAAAGACAATAATAAACTCATAAAATATATACAATTAGGTTTTTAGTTTAAACTACAATTTTTAAATTATAATTCAATAAATTACAAAAAAAAAAAAACTCAAGTTTTTTAGTGTAAGAATTTTTCTTCTGAAACGCGCCTTTTATATACAATTTATATGTATATACATATAAGATATATCATTCATATAAACGAGTTTATTTGAATTATTTAAAATAGTATATACGATGTTTAAAATTTGAACTTCATTATTATCATCGTAATTTTTATAGTTAAAAAAAACTAATCGTTTGGATGAAGGTTTCTTTTTCTTGTTAATTTGTCTTTTGCAGCATGTTAGTGTCCTGTTATTGGATTGGAAAAATAATTGAAAAGGGATCAATGGAAGAAAATGAAAGTAATATGAGGGTTGTGCTATCTGCCTAGCTATCTCCTTGTCAATGCTCACGAGGTTGGGTCTGTTATTTAAAAATGATTGCCAACTCCTATTTTGCTTTTTGTCTTCTTTTAGATATTATTGGTCGGTTGAATATGAACTTGTAGATAGATATAGTTAACTTAGCAACTTAGATACATTCCTTGTTCACTATAGTTCTATGATTACGTTTGTGTTAGTGGCTGATTTCTTCCATTTTATGGAATACATGTTTGTTTTGGGATTGGAGTGAAGAATATAATACATGCAACACGATCTGATTTGATTAGTATTGAAACATGATTATTAGAATATATACTTTGCTATAGTGGAAACTTGCTTGAATTGTAATTCTTTATGTATGACACTGGCGATTCCTTTGATTCCTAAGAAAATGATAATAGCCTGGAAAATACGAGGTTGAAAATGACACCTTTTGTTGACAAATTGTTTAAATAATATATGTAGAACACTAGTTATCACACATGTATTTACTTAATCCTATAGGTCACTAAAATTCAAATTAATTAATTGCTAACATGCCATAACTGTACTATTTAAATTCATCCTGTATTAGAGGCAATTATCAAACCAATATACCCTTGTCTAGCCAAAGGCAATTATTTTGATCATCCAAGATATCTACCTACTCAAAGCATTTCTACGATCTAACACCCTTGCAATCTCAATCAAACTAATGAATACTTTTTTTCTCTTATTACCTTCATTTTGGTCTGTAGTATGCTTTCACATGCTTGTTTTCTCTATTATCAACTCACACTTGTGTGCCCCAATCATAGCTGCCTCTATTTTAGGAAACCAGACCGATCAGTTGGTGTTGCTCAAATTCAAGGAATCAATAAATGACCCGGATAAAAGCTTGGTCTCTTGGAATAGTTCCAACCATTTTTGCAAGTGGCGTGGAGTTACATGCAATCACATGCATCAAAGAGTCATCGAGTTGAACCTCGAAGGAAACAACTTGCATGGAATCATATCTCCTCATGTAGGCAATCTCTCTTTTCTAACAAGTCTTAACCTTGGAAATAACAGCTTTTTTGGAAAAATTCCACAAGAATTGGGTCAGTTATTGCATTTACAATACTTATCTCTCACCAATAACTCGTTAGAAGGAGAAATTCCTACAAACTTGACAAGTTGTTCTAAGATCAAAGAGTTGCACTTATTTCATAACAATTTGATTGGCAAAATACCAATTGAAATTGGCTTTCTTAAAAAGCTTCAAAAGATGAGCCTTACAGAAAACAATTTAGCAGGGACAATCCCATCTTCTATAGGCAATCTTTCATCCCTTACTTCTCTTGCAATGGGTCTTAATTACTTCGAGGGAAACATTCCAAAAGAAATTTGTAACCTCAAAAACTTGGCAATGATATCAGTTCATGTCAATATATTGATAGGTACATTTCCTTCTTGTCTTTACAATATGTCATCTCTTAGAATAATCTCAGCAGCAGGTAATCAATTTAATGACTCTCTTCCTCCAAACATGTTTCACACCCTCCCTAATCTCCAAGAATTCCTAGTTGCTAGCAATGATATCTCAGGTTCAATCCCAATTTCCATTACAAATGCATCTGTCCTCCAAACACTTGACGTTGCTAAAAATCATTTGGTGGGCCATGTGTCAAGTCTAGGAAAGCTACAAGACCTTTGGTTCCTAAATTTTAAAAGCAATAACTTAGGTGACAATTCAACAAAGGACTTAGAGTTTTTCATATCATTGGCAAATTGTAGTAAGTTGCAAGTAATTTCTATTTCCTATAATAATTTTGGAGGTAGTTTGCCAAATTCTATTGGAAATTTATCCACTCAACTCAACCAACTATATCTTGGAGGTAATCAAATATCAGGAAAAATTGTTACAGAATTGGGAAATCTAGTTAGCTTAACTATTTTGACCATGGAAGATAACCACTTTGGAGGAATTATTCCATCTACTTTTGGGAAGTTACAAAAGTTACAAAAGTTACAAAAGTTGGAACTGAGTAAAAACAAATTGTCCGGAGATATTCCAAATTTTTTAGGCAACCTTACTCAATTATATTATTTGGGCATGGCAGAAAATATGTTAGAAGGAAAGATTCCTCCAAATATAGGAAACTGTCAAAAGTTACAATATCTTGACCTTGGGGAAAACAACCTTAGAGGAAGTATACCTTTAGAGGTTTTTAGCCTTTTCTCTTTAACAAACTTATTGGACTTGTCACATAATTCATTGAGTGGCAGTCTACCTGTTGAAGTGGGTCGGTTAACAAATATTGAAAAAATATATGTATTTGAAAATCATTTGTCTGGTGGCATTCC